CTCTATTATATGGGCCAGTTATGATTTCACTCTAATCTGTATACACGCGAGCATTAGTAACCCCTCACAGTACAGTTAGAAAACACATTTCACAAATTTAAATAAAGGAATTATTTGAAGTAATTGCGTTATCCTATCCTGATTGAGTTTGATACCTGAATGCGATAGTCGATAAGATCATGCTTAGCTTTTATGGTCTTATTGTTTGTTTTATGATTAGAATTAAATGTATTCGTATTTAGGTGAAATGATGACATACCTAAAAGTGTTGTACTTGATGGCAGTACCTGGTAATATGGGTAAGAATTATCCTTTATGACAAGTGTGTTCAGACTAACCGTGTGATGAGGGTATGTGGATTTCGAATAATGACGAAGTTAAACAGAGAGGTCACGATCACAATCGTTCCCTATTGCCATTTGTAGCAGCCCTATCTTAGTTGATAAGTAGTCGAGTTATTTTAAGAAGCAGTAAAGCCACATGAAGTGAGTTTTCAAATGAAGCGAACAGTGTTTTCTCAGTTTGGACTTTGTGATAATGAGAATAATTGTCTTGTTGTATTTTGTTACCGGATCATGGTCTGATTATGGGCTTGTGTATTTTATTGTTCGCCTAGTGGTGTGTTGTTTTATCCAAGTGTGTTTTGTGTGACCCAATCGGGTAGTACCGTATTTCTCTTGCTCGTACAGCTGGTGTGCAAGTACTCTTTAACTTCTCAAACTCCCGCAGTCGCCATGTTGTATGGTCGCTGGCTGATTTCCAGTCGTCATAAGTTGCTCAAAAGTGCAGGCCAAATTTTGTCTGAGTTTAATTGATGTAATCATAATTCTTGTCGAGTATGTGTAATTATCCAGAAAACAGCTTAGAATGCAGCACCAGTTCTTTATTTATTTCTCTCCCTGTGTATGTGGTTATCAAGAGGAGTATCTACATGTTGTGTTTCCGGCTGAACCAAATTGTTACCTTAAATAGACTTAGTGTCGTCCACATACTATACATGCAGATATGTATTGCTTATATTTTTAACGATAGCTCTTGATATCAGATCGTATATATCCAACATACTTTATTCTCAATATATCTGTGTTTATTTTCACCTCCAATGTTCCAAATTTCACATTTTAGTATTTGGTTTTGGATACAATGAATCTGTAACAATTAAACAACCAAACATGTGTGTTGCACACTTACGAGCATGACCGTGGGAATTATTTGACTTGGTGTTTTTGTTTATAGATTTGGAGGATAAGTAATCCATTTGCAGTGTTGTTTGAGATAATTTATATCTTTCTAAGCACTTAGTTTTAGCAAATAGTGTCTGTCATATTAACTTTCATCGAGGCCTTACAATTAGTCACTTACAAAGCTCTCTTGATAACCAAAATGTGTGATTAGCCTTCACAAACAGATTGTAAGTATGAATGTTTTTATCCAGAGCTTTTCATGATTATCCTATTGGTCTCATTGCGCCTCGAAACAGTCCTACTTCCACTTCGTGAGTCTTACTGTTATTGTGTCCTCTCTCACTGTGACCTGTGTATACCCATTTGTGATCAAGATTAGATTTCCTGTTTCTCTTCATTTTTGTCACATGATGAGTAAATTAGAGAATCTTCAGATATAATGATTCTCGTAATGTAATGCTAGATCTAATGGGACGCCAAAATTCATCGCGTATGCGAGATTAGAGTACCAGGGTTGACGAGGCTACTGTTCGGCATGATCAGGTGACTTGGACGCTCCATTGGAAGATAATACCCTTAGGCACGCCGGGAGGCTGGCTGCTTGATACAAGAGATTTATTACTGCCTCTCACCTCGCCTCTTCCGTTCACATATTGAAGTGGAGAATGAAGTTTCCTATAGATATAAGTTCCTATTGAAAACTCGCGAATCAGTCTTCGATGTATATTGATAATAACATTATCGAAGGCTCTTCATGTTATTAGCCTAGATACCAAGCATCTCAGAAAATCGTGACGGAAGGTTGTCATCTTTATATTTGTAAAATCATAAATAAGTACTCATAAATAAACAGTACAATGATAAACACTGATTTAAGTAATTCCCTGATGTCTTGACCTGTCTTACTTTGAGTTGGTTTTTTATTAGAGAATAGTTTCTTTAAGATTAGTTGGAAAATGTACAAGTATTCTAAACGATTTTAATTTCCTGATTCTTACAATAATAGTAGTATAAACTTTTATTATATGTAGACATTGCCTACATTATATTATTGAAGTTTCAGTTCCATTAAAAAATTTGTAATCAATTATAATAATATGAGTGATGCTATGCTAAACTCTTCCATATTATAGCCGGTTCTGTCGGTGTGCCACTAGTATAAAAGTGAGGCAATTTAGATTACGGCTGTTTGCCTTTTTCGGTGATATTTACTAGTCGAATTAGGACGTTCCGCAAAAGGTTTAATATATTGCTCTGTCTGATGTGTTAAACTATCTGAATACCTTTTTTTTATTTAAGTTTATCAAATGTATTGTGGTTTATATAGTTTAATATCCAGGGTAGACAACTCTCGTTTCGAGTGGGTACTGGCTCTCATAATTGTTTCCTCATTTTTGCTGTTCTTTTTCAATAAATATTGTGCATTTATGTATCAGCTACCAAATCTCATCATTGATATTCTTTAGGTACACTCTGTACCAGATAATAAAATATGCATTTGGGAATTTGCTGGTTGATATTTCATATGTCCAGTTGCCGCTTGATTTTTACACAGGATCGGTAATTCTGAAGCTGTCACATTTTATGCTATGTTCTCCTTCTTGTACCTGTATTTTGTCAAATATGTAGTATTGCCCGTCGCAGACGAGTCTTGGAACAACTCAGATGCTATTATGTATGCGGATTATTAAAGTGTACTCTAGTTCCTGTTGGTTTTGTGTAGTCATCCAATATCTTTGAGACCTTTATATTTGTCCAATAGTCCGATATGGTTCGAATGTTTTTAGGCTCGTTGTTAATTTGTAGATGGTGGTTTTCACATGATGTACTCACTTCATATAATTATCGGTTAATCTGGTGAAGTAACTTGTTGATCACGTGAACATTGCTAGTTATCTGAATTCTCTCAGGGTGTTTGCGAACGATCTGGATGGTCCAGGCTTTAAAAAGTAGAGAACACTAAAGCTAAGACTACCCAAGAAGACACACTTGTGTTTGAAATAGTAACCCCACCTTTTAACTAAGTTTATAGACTGTCATAGTTACGGGATGTGACTTGTCAGCCTGAGGAGCGCGGTGAAATAGTCAAAATATATGAAATCCATGAGTCCCTCCCCTTATAATAATGACAAGTTATTAATATAATCTTTTTACTTTCAATTTAGTGGGGTCTTTTGAGAGCCTCTTCATACGAGTATGGTATTTATTTTCCAGATAAAATAAAGCTGGTTTGTTCCTTTTAGTCAACCTCCAACAAGTGGACACATAGAAAATTAATATTCTATATGTCTTTACCCTTGCTACTGCAAAGCTAGGTGATCGTATGGTGTTTTTTGCAAGAGCTTATTAATTACCTCACATATACGGTTATCTTAGCTCTCCTGAGCTAATAGCCTGAACACACACAAATCAGACAATTACTGAAGAGGGACACATTGATGTGCATCACTATAATAGATGTTCTGCTCAAACGCATAATTATTCTCGATATAAAGGCCTGAATTTAGAGTAATATTTGTAGAGTTAGGAAATGTTCTTTAAAATGTTTGATCGGACATTGGACGATAAAATTATTTTAAATGAATGAACGTTTCGTAGTTTGACTGGTCTGAATAGTGACACTCTTTCCTAACGGTAATATGTTGAAGACACTCCTGTCGTCTATCGGCGTTCTAGTTCATGGGTTCCCGATTTTCTTTGTTCCGTTTACGAACTGCCACTTACTCTAAAAGGACAGACTTGGATCCCCGATACCTCTGGAATTTAGGAGATAACTAGCCCAAATTACAAGTACTTGGTAAAAAAGTTATCAAGCTCTATTTTTGACTAAATTGAATCACATATTAGTTGTATATTGCGTGGCTCATGATTTTATGGATAGATGGCCCCTGAATTGGAGATTCATGCGTTCGCAACTTTTTCTTTTCTCCGGTCAATACGTTTGATATTTTGGCAATAATGAAGCAACAGATAAGACATATTGGGCACAACAATATAAAGTGGTGGAAAAGAACTTTTAGTAAAAAGATGTGTATAATCTCCAGACTGCCATCTACACATATTACAAGTTTCATAAAAATATTTCTATTACTTTTTGCGTTAAACACTGGATCCAGTTTATGTGTAAAAATTGCCATATTTTCAGTCTATTTGTTGCTATAGCAACCAGAATTTTCAACATAGGAAGAAAAGAAAAAGACGTGCATAATCTCCATACTACCATCTATCCATATATCAAGTTTCATAAAAATATTTCCAGTACTTTTTGCGTTATCACTGGATCCAGTTTATGTGTAAAATTTGCCATATTTTCAGCCTATTTGTTGCCATAGCAACCAGAATTTTCAACATAGGAAGAAAAGAAAAAGACGTGCATAATCTCCATACTGCCATCTATCCATATACCAAGTTTCATTAAAATATTTTCAGTACTTTTTGTGTTATCGCGGGATCCAGTTTTGTGGACGGACGGACGGACGGAGACGGACTGACAGACGGACGGAGGGTAAACCTAAAGTCCCCTCCGGTAAACCGGTAGGGGACTAATAATAGTACAAAAATACAAATTTTCAATTTATTTAGAGTAACTATATTTCTTAACTATAATTTGCTTTTCGCTGTATCTTTAAATGACGAAGCTGATCTATGTAAGAAATTCAATTTTTTTTTCTTTTCAGGCTTTTAGACCTCAGTAGATTTCCTTTAAATACTGTATATGTACATAAGTTACCAACACTCTCATTTCAGGCATTGATTACCAAAATCAAATCATTCCACTTTGACTTGTTTTTTTTAATAACTTTTTTGAAAAATAATACATGTATCAAAAGACTAAAAATTATGAGAGTAAAAATTGTTATACCTTAATTGTTTTTCCCTCTCATGTGACAGGTCCTCGGCACCTAGACTATCAAACTTAAGAAGCTGGGCTACAAATGGTTCCTGGGAGCACAGGTTGTCCTCTATCTTCTGTACACGTTGTTCTAAACGATCATCTATGTAGCCGGGTCCAGCCTGAACAAATTCATATATACCAATTTAATTAGTCATTTCAGTTAAAACTCAACTTATTAAATTTTTGTTAATTAACCAACACTTTGAAATAAATTATATTTTTGTTTATTAACCAACACTTAATTAAGTTCCATACAAAAGTACTGGATGTTGTGTTCCAGCTCGTCTGTTAAGGGCAATAATCAATTTTGACAAAAAATTCAGTTAGAAAGGGGGATAACTACAAAAGTACAGCTTTCAGATTTATGCCTCCTGTCTAACAACTGCACTTTGTCAAGATAAGCAAGTATTCCAATTTTTTAATGACAATGACAAAGACAATGATGAAGTAGCCGTCATAATAGCACAACTATTTCTTTGAAACAGAACAGCTAAAAATGAATGGAATACAAAGACCCACACCAAACAGTAGTTGCTACCTAAGTAAAACCACAATCTTGAAATTGATAAAAATTTGATAGTTTCAACACATCAAAACATTATGACCCTTTTGGACCTTTAGTCGATCTATTTAAATATTATAGAAGTAAACTTCTCTAGCTATTTGCCTACAGTTGAACCTTCAAGGTGAAACAGTTTGTTTTTTCAACACATTTTTACAATGTTATACAGTCTTTTTGTAATAATTAAGTAAATCTACTGATATGCATCACAAAAGAAAAATATTAAAGACATATAATCACCATATAATAATAATAATACAGACCGAAAAAGAAACATAATATATAAACGTACCTCAGAGCCAGCGCTAGAAATCCCGTCATCACCACCGCCATAAGTACAATCTGAGTCGGTGAGATAACATGGTGGTTTCTCCGGTAGACCATGTGACCCAGTCAGTGCATTCATGCGGAACAGTAGCTCGTCAACCTGGTACTCTATCTCTGCCATCGTGAATTCCTGTATACATTTAAGCATAATGTTATTTTTAAAATATTACTTCTTACAAAAATTAAAAACGGGAATTTTCTTCAAAAAGGTATTACGTATTCTGAGAGACACAAATAAACAGTAGCTCTATGGATGAGGTGCCCTAACTCCTAACAAAGGAGTTGTGGGTTAAAATCTTATTCTGACATGCTTCACACATTTTGTTCAAATGCTTTGTAAGGCCTATTGACCTTCGTGATTATATTCCTGCACATTTAAAATCTCTTAAAAGTATAATATTCTACAACAATTCACTTGCAAATTGATATCTATTTCCTAAACAAAATTAATACACAGTCATGTTTGGTCATGTGGATGTAAGAATAGATATTCAACTCTTAGTTAAAAGTTGTCGCAGTCTAGAATGTGTACAAAGTCTAGCCTGGGTAAAAAGTGATAAACAAATTTAGATACAGTCTAATTCAAGTATTTGTGCACCAAAAATAGAACTTTCACTTACAGGTGGCAAGATAATGACTGGTTCCTCTTCTATAACTGGTTTCTGTAAACCAGTCCACAGTTGAAACTGGTTCCAGTAAAACAAAATGGCTTCCTGTCCGCTCATGGCAAGCAGACGTCGTCGCTTCCGGGTCTTGAAGTAATGTGAAAGTACGGCAACCATCTGATACAACAAAAACAATACACATTGTGATAAATTTTTTAAACAACAGACAGACTGCACAATTGGTAATAAGAGATCTATATACTGTCAAATTTAACGATCATCTCTTAACACAAACCAAACTTGAGAACAAGGCAATCTGTTTCTGCTTGCATTTGATAAATTACCATCACTGTCTTCTGCTCTAACCTCTACCCATGGGACCAATGCAGGCTAAGATCAGTGGTCTGCAATGTTTGCTTTTCAATTTTCAATACAAATTTTGAAATTTTCCCCCTTACTGATGAATGGTTTTGTTTGGCTTGAAATACTGACAAATCCATTTAAGATACTTAGTGTGGTAATTGTTACATTAAGAACAGTAAACAAGTAGTTTAATAGATTTCAGTATCAAAATAATACCAAGCAGCCAACAATTTAGAGTCTTGTCAGAGGTCACCTTTGATAAATATCCAGTATCTATTTTGTAAGAGTGGCTTCTTGAGACTGGTTTTAATGCTTTTGTATGAAAATTATTGAAAAGCAGTTTTAAATAAAAGTTCTAGGGCACTTCAAGCTTCAAATGCATGACTTTTGGAAGTTTGTAACTAAAAACATGTACCAGAATTGTTATCTTCACTTTGCCATATTTCAATTTTTTCAAATATCAAACTTTGCTCCATTGAATGAATCATGAAGACATTTTACATCTGAGATACAGATCTATTTGAGCCGTGTCATGACAAAACCAACATAATGGGTTTGCGACCAGCATGGATCCAGACCAGCCTGCGCATCCGCGCAGTCTGATCAGGATCCATGCTGTTCGCTATCAGATTCTCTACTTGTAATAGTGTTGATAAGCGAACAGCATGGATCCTGATCAGACTGCGCAAACCCATTATGTTGGTTTTGTCGTGACGCGGCTCATTTATAGATTGTTATATCATGTAACTTACATATGATGTAAGAAGTCCTAATCCAAACACAATGAAGGTAAATGTGTACAAATTTGCTGTAACAGTTTGTCCTTCACCCTGGAATTCTGGGAAATGGTAGCTCCCTGAGAGTAAAGCTGTAACCCCCAGAAGACTGCTCCAAATGTCACGGAAGGTCATCACCAAGGTACCAAAGAGAATGTGACCCATACTTGTATACGCAGCCAGAATTACACAAAACATTGCCTGAAATCATTAACATAAAGTTTAATAAATAGTTTTAAAATGTCAATAACAAACAACCTAAATAGTCTAATAAGATTTTACAATGAAATAAAGTGTTGAACAAATTTTGTAATTCATAAAGTGATAAAAAAAATAACATTAAATGAACAAAAATACCATTATACATAACATGTTACAATTATTAATTACAGATTTGATTTACACATTTGTAATTTGTGGTTCAAAATTTCACTTTATAGTTCAGAGGACATGGATAAACAAAAATATTTTACGAAAGTTATTTTTAGAAGTGCTGATTTTTTTCAACAAGTGTAGATCTTTTTAAAACATTATTCCTTTAATTTAGCAACTGACTGATCCTCTTACACAATGATGGAACCCCATTGAACAACATGTATAAATTAAGTCTGTTTCAACAAGTTGATGTAACCTCTGTAGAGCAATCACCTCTTTACAACAACCGAATCAAATCTTCCTTAACTAAAATTTAACAATTGAATTTAACCTCTCTAAAGCATCACCTCTCTACAACAACCAGAATCTTTGCCTCCCAAAGGGTGGTTGCTAAGCAGAGGTTTTACTGAATTACTCATGCGGCTGTGAAATCAGTACAGTACAAGACTTACAAAGAATATGATCATTTCACGCCTGGCTTTCCTGTACACTTCTCCAAACACCACAAACTGTTTGTTAAATCGCAGCAGACGTAAACTTTTCACAAAACAAAGGAACAAAAGTATAGCCACAAGACTTCTCATTATCTGCAAAACAAACAGCAAGATACTAATTGAAAACCAAAAAAAAAAAAAAATATGACGAAAAAATAAAATTGTAAGAATTTGTACGTGAAATGTTTCAGTCATCCAGTCATAAACTGTCAGTCAACAAATGTTTTTCGTTCTAGCAATTCTTCATTACCATACTACCAATTGCCCTCACGGGAACGAGCTACAGACGTACTTTTACAATATGATTTATTGTTTTTCAACTAACATCAATTCATATTTCATGTCTGGTTCAACTGTGTCTACAACAAACAAGATGTATCAATCCCAAAAACAAATGAGCCACGTCATGACAAAACCAACATAATGGGTTTGCGACCAGCATGGATCAAGACCAGCCTGCGCAGTCTGATCAGGATCCATGCTGTTTGCTATCAGTTTCTCTACTTGTAATAGAGTTGGTAAGCGCAAAAGCAAGGATCCTGATCAGACTGCGCGAATGCGCAGGCTGGTCTGGATCCATGCTGATCGCAAACGCACTATGTTGGTTTTGTCATGACGCGGCTCAAATAAAGTTTACTGAAAACAGAAACCAAATTTTCCATCATCCATATTGAAGATTACACAAGCAATTATCATAGTATTGCAAGCAATCCATAAGTCCCCTACCGGTAAGAGCCCAAGCAACATTCTGAAGGGCCATTTGCCATTCACTTATGTTCCTATTTTAAGTAAATTTGTTGAAAAAGTTCTTTAAAAGTGATCACAGGAAACAGTTTTTATGTACAGACAGACGGACTGAAGGACACTCTAAAGTTATTTTTTAAACATCCCTGTTATCAAAATATATCATTTTTAAAATCCTATCATGATTGAAGAAGTTGGAGTAAAAATTACCAATTTCTCAAAAAAAAATCTAAGTTCAAAAGGGGCATAATTCTGGAAATAGTCTTGCTAGAGTATTGGACCATCACAAATGTTGAGTGATAATAAGAAACATTTATATGAAGTTTGAAGTAGATACATTCAGAAAAAGAAGTTTTTTAAAAAAAAAAAACAATGTTTTTTTCATGAAAATTTTAAGTTCAAGGGAGGTAATTCTGATAAATTTTGTGCTAGAGTTGTAAACTTGTCACATATGATGTGGTTGATTACAAGCAACTTATGTTTAAAGTTTGAAGAAAATACCTTAAGAAATAAAGAACTTATAGTGAAAAAACTTAAAAACTAGAATCAGAAATCTTGAAATTCAGTCTATTTGTTGCCATAGCAACCAGAATTTTCAACATAGGAAGATAAGAAAAGGATGTGCATAATTTCCATACTGCCATATACCCATATGTCAAGTTTCATAAACATATTTTCAGTACTTTTTGTGTTATCACTGGATCCAGGTTATGTGTAAACTTTGCCATATTTTCAATCTATTTGTTGCCATAGCAACCAGAATTTTCAACATAGGAAGAAAAGAAAAAGACGTGCATAATCTCCATACTGCCCATCTATCCATATATCAAGTTTCATAAAAATATTTTCAGTACTTTTTGAGTTATTGCGGGATCCAGGTTATGTGTAAAATTTGCCATATTTTCAGTCTATTTGTTGCCATAGCAACCAGAATTTTCAACATAGGAAGAAAAGAAAAAGACGTGCATAATCTCCATACTGCCATCTATTCATATATCAAGTTTCATTAAAATATTTTCAGTAGTTTTTGTGTTATCGCGGGATCCAGTTTTGTGGACGGACGGACTGACGGACGGACAGACGGACTGACGGACGGACGGACAGACGGACGGACGGAGGGTAAACCTAAAGTCCCCTCCGGTAAACCGGTAGGGGACTAAAAATGCATGTAACTGTTAGTCAGCGTTTTATACCCAACCCACTCTTTTAATAACTCAGACGATATTTGATATTGAAATCTCAAAAATAAAAATAAAATTACATTTTACACTGTTTGAAACCTTGAATAAGTCATCACTGTTTATGTAACTATTTATTTTGACATTAAAACTATATATATAAATATTGTTTTTATTTTTATAATATTTAAAACCATAAACACCAATAGAAATAAATGGCATTTATTGTAAAACAGCATGATAATCATGAAGCTCGCTATTTTTGTCATTAATATTTTCATGAGTAGAAACCATCAAACATTGTAATCAAAATGTTGGTGATTCTATTCAGTAAAAAGCTTGTACCAGACAAAACCAACATAGTGCGTTTGCGACCAAAATGGATCCAGACCAGCCTGCGCGTCCACGCAGTCTGATCAGGATCCATGCTGTTCACTATCAGTTTCTCTACTTGTAATAGAGTTGGTAAGCGAACAGCATGG